TGATGTGGTTTAATATCAGCCCTCACTAAAAACCCTGTTCTCTTCTTTCTCTCTGTTTCAAGTTCAAGATCCTGAGAGGCAGGCTGGTGTAATTAGCTTCAAAACAGATTAACAAAAATAATGTGACTCTTTACAGTCACACAGTCTCAAAGAAGTCATTTTACTTATAACTCACTTTTAAAGCACACAATAGAATATGGTGGAATTGATGGCTGCAATATACAGGCAAAAATTGTATGCAATGACAAACTCATTTCATTTTTAATTTCAGACTGCCTCATATCCCAGCTATGACAGATTTCCCCAAATTTACTCCAAATCCCATTACTCGCTGTTGGTATGTACACTTTACCACCTACAGCAGATCAAACTAAATCAACAAAAGTGAAGATCAAAATACAAATGCAGTGAGCCAGTGCTGTCTTTTATAACAACAAAAAGCAATAGGAAACTTCTCACCACTTTGCACAAGCAGAGGGAAGGAGATAGTAATAACAGAGACAATAATATGGTAAAGCAAAATAGCAACACAGGCAGCAATCTGTTGCATAACCAATTCAGCCACAACACACTCAAGATGCTCAACCATGAGTGTTCATATTTCACCATTAAAGAATCATACAAGTGCCAAACAACAACCAACAGGAAAAGTCTCAGCCATTCAAAGACAATTGACAGCAAAAAATTTACAGCCAAGACAGCAGCTGAGGCATCCCTACTGTTCAGTGCAATATGTAAAACACAGAAAGTGAAATTTTTTGATAAAGGTAAAATGTGACAAAACAGCATTATAATGAAGGAAACATGTTTGTTTCGTACAAACCCCTCAACATTTTCACATTGTCATCATTTAATTTTTTTTTTTTCCAGTGAAATTCAAATTTGTGATGCAAAAAATGGTCACTCCCAATCATATTGCAATCACAATTATCCCATTGCTGCGAAGACATCAAAAAACCTCCACATGTACTCCTGATCAGTGTTAATTTTGGCGGCTATTTTAGATTTAGTCTAAGTCTTAGTCTTTAGACGAAAATGCTTATTAGTTTTAGTCACATTTTAGTCATTGTTTTCCTTCGTAGTTTCAGTCTAGTTTTATTCGACCAAAAGTCCTTACATTTTAGTCAACTTTTAGTCATTACTTTTAGTCAAAATGTTTTCTCTTTTTAAACTAATTCAATTAGGCTAATACAGGTATCGGAAATTGAAATGAAGGTGACAGGTTGTATCAAGTGTTGAAATTCGTAAAGCAACATTTCACTCTTAACACTTGTACCTGTAATATACATACTCCTTACCTTAGTTGGATATCTCTAAACTAGACTCTCCCATGTATGAGATGCTGCTGTGCTGTACTTTCTGATCTACTAAGGTAGTAAGTGCATTACACATGGTGACATGGAGTAAAGACCATTCCACTAAGTCAAGAAACAAAACTTTCTATATTTGGCCAATGTGGTTATGTTTATTTTCTGGAACTTCAAAATGAACACACATACACTAACACGTCTCTGGGATCTAGGTGAGGAAAAATCAAAAGATACAATTACTCCTTATACAGACCTCCTAAAGGCTTACAGATGAATTCAAATTAATTAAATGTAGGCTAATCCCTTTAAGATATTACTTTGCTAATAGTATTATCATTAAAATATAATAAGATATCAAGTATAGATTTTGAAGATTCCAATTATGTGATTACACAATACAACTAGCCTGTTATATATGCCTACCTGGCCTTAGAGCGAATAATCATACACACATATCTTCTAAATATTTGCTGTGTAATCTTAGAAATAACAAATTGAAGTTTGACTAGATAGTAATTGCAATGCATGTTCAGGGCTTGTCACTAAACTTTTTCTGTTAAGGACAAGTAAGTGAAAATGGATTGAGCATAATTATAAGTTGCTTGTCCAAATATAAATAAACTCGCAGGCAGGCTATAGCCATTACAGCAGCAACACGTGATGGACATTTAGGCTGCATTTACACTGTCAGTCTAATGTAACCAAATTCCGATTTTTTGCTCTTGTGTGGCACAGATTGGATGTGCTCTTTGACAGTGTAATCAGGAAAATTCATACGTGGAAATAGATCAGATATGTATCGGATATGTGGCAATGCGACCGCCGTGTAAACAGGCAGACCGGATATTCAGTCATTTCAGCTCGCATAAGATGCTTATGGTGAAAATAATGTTGACACGCGCCTTCTTTTCGCATAAGATGCCGGTGTCAATATTATTTTCACCTAGTTTCACAACTTTTCACTGACTTTGACAGACAGACTAGACGCACAATTGGGGGAAAATATCATGCATTTTGAATGTCCAATAGCACACCACTAACATTTTAGTCCTGTCTCGTCTCGTCAACGAAAACGAAACCTACATTTCGTCATCGTTTTTATTATCAAAGATCTATGTTTAGCTTGTCAACGTCTCGTCTTAGTCATAGAAAAAAGGTCGTTGACGAACATTTTTCGTCATACTTTTCATTAACGAAATTAACACTGCTCCTGATGCAACATTAATAAAATGTTTAGCTGTAAACTTTTAAAAACTAGCTTAATTTACTGTATTTCCCCTGTGTAACGAGTGGGCGGGGCATTGTCAGTTTAAAAAGACGGTGTTGACCAATCAGATTACACTGTGGCTCAGTTAGCTGCTTTTTATCATCACCTCAGCAGGTGATTAATTAATTAAACTCACTTCCGTTTTTAAGTAAACAGATATATTGTATAAATTCATTCACTGAATATTAAAGTTATAGGGGCAGTATTCTCCATTTATATACATGAACACATATTATCCCATTAAAGTAATCACAATTATCATCAACGATAAATTGGTATTAAGTTTTTTAAATGAAATAAAAGATGTTGGATAAATTATAGGAAGTTAAGCTAAATATAAATATTTGATAATAATAGATGCTCTTTGGAGCACAGATGATCTTTGTTGGGGATGAAAACCTACAGATAACCCTGGCTTATTTGTAAAAAAAAGGCACTGCATTAAGGTTTTTAAACAACTTTATTTACAAAGCTTTTACAAGTAACCAGAGAATCTAGAGAATAAAGAAATAAGTTGTAAGCTGGAGGCAGTATACATTAAAAACTACAAATTCAGAGTGTTTTTTTTTACAAGAGGAGCTGAGCAGAGGAAGAAGGTGGGGAAGAGGAGGTGTGACGTATGGAGAAGGGAAGTCA